CCCGCTCACCTTGCGCTGGGCGCCGCGGGACGCGGCTCGGGGCCCTGCGGCGGCTCCGCGAGCGCCTCGGTGCTGACTGCCCGCGGAGCCCGCGCCGCGCCGCTAGTGAGCATGTCCGAGCGCCGGGCATGCGGGCTGGGCCCCCGCTCCGCCCTCACCTGCACGGACACCGCGCTGCCCCGCACCGCCCCGCACCCCGCACCGCCCCGCCGCCGCTCGCTGTCCCCCCGCGCCCCGCTGGAGGGAATTCTGCCCGTCCTCCTCCCCCACCCCCCCACCCCCCGCCCCGCTTTGGTGGTCGGGGGAGGGGAGAGTCGTGAAAAAGCGCGCCTTCGAAAAGTTTGCTCCCGAGTGGTTCCCCCCACCACCACCCTCCGGAGAGAGAGAGCGAACTTCGCCACGTTCAGGGTAACCGTCCCCTCTGATGGTTCATCCGCGTCCACGCAGGTGGGAAATACCGCAGGCAGCCTTCCTCAGGATCCACGGGGAATTCTGCACGTGATCGAACTCCCAACATCCTGAACCACACGGAGCTGAAACAGTAAAGCTCTGCCACTCCTGCAACAGTTGAAAGGGTCTTTAAAGCCTCTGTTAAAGCGCGGGACATCAGAAACTGCCTCTCTCGGGCCATTCCTGCAGCATCGACAGCACTTGGCACCGACAAGGCTGCTGTTCTCAAAGTAGCAAATTGCCGTTTCATGGCATGTTAATGAGCATTTAAAACATTTTAGCAAGGCGAACTGATACCTTTTCTCTCGCTGATGTCTCCCCCAGGACCCTGGCACATGCTGTTTGGGATAAGGTTTAAAGGAACAGTTCCCCCTGGGAAAGACTATTCAGTCCCGCCAGTGTCCTCTACTGTCACTACAAGTAAGTCGGTAACATTTCAGGACCATTTACTGAAAACCAAAGAACACCAGAATTACCACTATCTCCTCTTCCAACAAGGCAGAGAGAGCTCTCAGATTTTTGTGGAATAAAGTGACTCTGCCTGACAACGGTGTAACCACACATAGTAAATGTCTCAGCTAATTTTCAGATCGAGTTTTAGATTAGTCACAAGAAGGACAATGCAAGGAAACGGGAGCAACATGCACAGATGTGCACTTCAGTACAAGATGAATCTACCAGAGCTGTTACAGGGCTTTTAAGCACCTATGGCTGAGAGATATAAATTCACAGTTGCATTTAGGTACTTTATAAACCTTTCAAATAGTTTTTACAGTTTCTTCTCTGAAGACTCTTGTAATTAAAAAACATACAAATCCAGTTAGAAAATATTCTGAAGCAAACCACACAGAAGGGCCATGTGTCCCAAGAAAACGGAAAGTATTTTTAGAAGAGTACTGTGCCTTTGACTGTTCATATCTACCACATCAAACCAGAAATAATCAGCTCATGGATATTCCATCTGCTTACATACAAACCCTGAACCCGAGTCAATAAAAGTCACAAGTTAACAGAATAAGTTCCTTCAGATATTCATAGTACCTGTTAATATGTCCCTCAACTCTGAATTTTCCATGTGTGAACCTTCCTATAACATTCAGGGCATGAACCCAATGACAGCACAAACAGTCAATATTGAGGAGGATCAAAACACTTTTCAAAGCTCTTTCCCTTCCTTTGTACTCTGAAAATGCCTCCAGAATTATGACAGAATTAATACAGCCAGGCCAAACACCAACTGCAAGTCACACCAACTTTGCTACACTACAGTATTTCAACAGGAAATGCACTTTGACAATTTTCTAAACTCACAGTAACTTCACTTGAACATTCATTGCTACTAATTCCATCCTAGGGAGAGAGAACTGTTCACAGCACAGCTACAGGCACTCCAAGGACCAACCAGCCTTGCAAACCCTTGTATTTCTGCACTGGAGTCGCTCAGTTCAGAACCAAGCTGGTTATTGTGTAACTAACACTGCAAGAGGGGAGAACAGAACAATAAAAGCCGGGCTTACAGTCTTGCGCTCTCCATCGCGACCGACCACGCGGATGATTTCTCCTGTAGGAATACGTTCAATCCGCAGCTCCATTTTTCCAAGGCGACTTAGGAAATCTCTCTATTCTTTACGGATAGTTCTGATTTCAGCACACAGCAGCAGCAGCAGAACTCGACTAACTGCAATCTTTGGTTGAGAGCCCTGTTGTGAGAGGAAAAGATGAACCTCTGTATTTATACTAAGTGTTAGGTGTGAGCTAAAACAATTAAGTTCAAGACTGGTTTCCACTGGTTACAATGTGCCAAGACAGTTCCAAGAAGCCTAAATTTATGCTCGTGTTTATTGCTGCCAACTTTGTTAACGTTCCACTTCGCTCCCAGCGGGCTCAGAATCCCCAGTCAAGTCGCTGCGGATGCTGTTTCAGAGGTATTGGCACGAAACAATCACACGGCAGGCTTCAAAAATCTTTACCAAGAGGGTTTATGTAGAAAAAAATTCTTCATCTCCACGAGGCAGGGCAATAGAAAACACTGATTGCTCCCATGGTAACTACAGGAAGTTCTGCAAATTGCTGCAGAACAAGATCTTTATTAAATGAGTCCTCGAGTAGCTAACTAATCATGACAAAGGAAATTAACCTGCACATCACCGCACAAAAATTCCTACTACAAATATGAGAAAAATATTCTGGTGAACACTGGTTTTTAAGTGCAATTACAGAGCTTTACAATGGTCATGCCATCCACTGATGGAGAGGCCAGACCTTTCACTCCCTTCAAAAAAGATGCAGATATCCCACCTGTGATTGGGGTGGGGAAATTAAGTCTAAATTTCAGGTATTTTAAGACTTGCTGATAGGAGACAATTCCTTTTATCTTCCTGGAAGAGCCAATTTTGAATTTTCAACTCTGCTACGAGCCAAATACAAACGGTAATGCTTGTCCAAAAACCTACCTAGTTAATAAGATTAACAACCACTGGCCACTCCAGAGCAGATCCAGGTAACGCCAGTCTGTTCAGCAGCTGAAAAGAAACAGCCTGTCACTGTTCTGTCTTTCATATCTGGAATTATTCTTATCGTCCCTTAGCTGTTACACACAAGATTGTTCCACTCCAACAATTGTTGCCTTGAGCGCTTACTTGCCAATACAGGGTTCTACTGAAAAAGAGATTTTATCACATTTAAAAAAACCTGTTTTAAAAAACTGTCACTTCCCCAAACAAACCCACCATATCCTCAGTAATATGGAGCAATACCCAGCCTGTCCTTTCTCCCCTTCCTATGGAGAGAAATCACAAAGACTGGTCATCTAGAACACAAGAATTGTGTAGCTGGAATGGCTCCTGTGATGCTGATACCACAACTATGTGCAAAAAAGCTTTTGAAAATGGGCTAAAAGTCAGTGAGGAAAAAAAAAAAAAAAGGATGAAGAAAGTAGAAAGAAGCTGAAGAAAAAAAATATAAGAACAAATTAAAAAAGGGAAGAGAGGAACACAGTGTGGTCTCTGCTGAGCTCAAGCGGTTCATTGTGAAACCACTGCAACTACACTGAAAACACAGTTACAGTGAAAGTGGTATTTGATAAATAATGCTGAAGCATTCCCTTCCAGGACTGATGTCTGTACTTAAATAACTGCCAGTTTCAAAGTATGGTTAGCAGGTTAAAATGCTTGCTATTCTGTTTTTCTTCCTTTTGTGGTGCCAATACTCTTTTTTTTCTGAATTTCCCCTGCACCTCTGAATTTCCTCTCACCAGTTTGCATTCCCAGTTCTCACACTTCCCCTGACTTCACTGTTTTCCTCCAGTGATTCTTCCAACCTGTGCTCAAACGTTCCCAAACAGAATTCTACTTTCTAGATTGCAAAATGAGATTTTGGATTGCAGGGACCTTGCGAGTGGCAGATGACGGCTCCACTGTAAGAAAGGGAGTGGGGTGTCCACGCACAAATCAATGATTTCTCTCCAGCTGAAGCAATTAGACTAGATCAGTGCAGTTCCTGAGCAGATCAATGTCCAGAGTAACTGTGCACTGCTCAGGAATCGCTTCAGTTCAATCCCATTCCAATAGTGAATCCCTATATCCAAGGGCTGGAAGGGCCAGTGGAAGTTTCCTGTTGGTAACACAGAGTTCTCAAAAAAAGGGATCGTTTCCTCTCTCAAGGAATAACGAATTCAAGCTTTGTTCAACTGGCCTTTCCACTGCAGTATATTAATTAAGACAAGTTCATCTGAGTGTCACTTGGTGTCCAAGAGCAGAGAAGGAAGCAGTGGTAGTGGAAACAATAGTCTTTATCAGAACGTATTTTTAGGGTCTAACAAACACGCAAGACATCTTAGAAATATTTCCTGTTTACACAGAGCTGTACTATCTCTGTGCAATGATACACTGCACATCCTGGGGTTAGCCAGGAATCAGAAATATAGGGGAGTTAAATGAGGCTATATTGGACAACATTCCTTGGTAGGCATATTTCCTATTTTAAAATAAATTCTCCAACACCAGGGAATTACCAAGAGTTACCCGCAGACGGAAATTATTTGAGTCCAAATTTATATTAAAACATGCAAAAATTTAAAATACGAAGCATAACGAAGGAGATCTTTCACAAAGCCAAAAATGGCACCTCAAATCACACCGTGGTGAAATTCTCTGTGACAAAGTGAAATTAGAAGAACCCGTTCTTCAAAATTAAGAAAGCAATTTAAGTGTTTGTGCATTTTTACAAGGAAAATACCAAACCCTCCTCAGTGGGGGAAGGGGGACAGAAATGCAAAGTGACAAGTTCACTTAATACTGGGTTCACTGAAATAGGGGGAAAAACCTGGATGAATCTGCTTTGTCCCAAAGAAAAATAGCATCTGTCCTTGACCTTCTTTTGCAGCCCAAAGCCCTACAACATATGTTATTATTGACTGATTTCCACTCTGAAATACTGTATCTGTGCATTAAACAGGACCAAGGGTTTCCTGGAGAAAGGTTACCATGCACAAATTAATCCTCCCCACCCAAAGCAACACGCTCATCCTCAAATCAACAGAGGCCGTGTACAACACTTCACTGCCAGGATTTATTTCAGAGGTACAGGAGAAGAAAACACATGAGTATAAAAACATTTCCAGTGATTATAACATCCAATTAAAGGTGTCTTAAGAAAGATAAATTTCATCAGAAATTGCATCATTACAGGTCATGGAATAGTTTGAAAAGCTACCATAGGTAACAGTAGTAAACAAAAGTGCCTCTGTGTGCATAATACTGAAGAAAGAAGTACAGTTCTGTGCAGCATCCTACGAACAAGCAGTCCCAACCCCAGCTGCCGTGGGCATTTGCAGTGAAGTCCTGTGGTTCAAAGGATTAGTTTACAAAATGCAGCTCCTGTGTCCAGTGACAGAGGGTTTATCAGCTCCCACACAACAGGAAGGCTCCCGAGTGTCTCTCCCCAGCAGAGGGGCCGCGTGGCTCCCCCTCTGCGCCGCTCCTGAACAGCACACGCACCCTGCTTGGAGGAAACTGGATCTTGGTCCACAGTAAATCACCAGCTGTGGTCTGCAATTCACAGACCACTGTTCTTTGGGCTCTCCACAGAATCTCCTTGTGTGGAGTATGGCAATGGTTACACAAATGAAATCAGGAACAGAGGACAACTCGAGAACTGCAGGAGTTATTGCAATTCGACAGGGATTTGTCTGATGCCCTAATTGCCATGAGAAGTCACACACCTGAAAGATTCAGTGCAAAACAAATTGTTGCCAGCCCGGTACAAATGTGAAAACTGTTTCTAATATGGTTCCAAATTGTAACAGGAATGTACAAACTGTAAACCTCAAGGCAGTGTTAATCCATGCAACCAACACAAGTATCCTCTGAACCTGCTACTCACGACAGGGAGCGGTTCCCAACACCAAGCTTTAAGCTGAGTATGTCTAAAACCTACAGAGGCCAAGTGTTCCTAAACCCCACTGCAACTACCTAAGCAGATAACCTATTCGAGCTTCCACAGCATACAAAGACACCTGGCCCTCAAAAGATTTTATACAGTGAATGATACAAGCAAGTAACTGCAAAACAACCATCCTCATCGAGGTGCTAACTTCCTATCTCAAAACAACCCTGAAAAAAAATAAGGCTTTGAGAAAAAGAGCAAAAAGGAATCGATTCCTTCCTGAAGCAGCATTCCAGCATGAACACACCAACATCCTTTGCTCTTCCACTTGAACCAAATTTGCTCTTTTCCACCCCTAACCACCAGGACAGTGGTTAGTGACTGACTCTACTTACCATGCATGGCAGGTAGCTGCAAGCTTTGGATCTGTAACACGGGAGACTCACCAGTGCTCTTGTCCAGCACTGCGGTCTCACATTCTGTGGAATGTTGGTGCCTCTTCCTATCCTTTCCAAATATCTCCATTTCCTCATCAAGAACAAAACCATTTCTGAAGCTAACTACCTTTCAGGTTCCCAAAGGTACATGAAGTTTTTTCATTCCATCTCCACCCTCAAGTGCACAGGATATATTAAGGTCTAAGCACCATTAGAAAACCAGAAATTTTTAAGACTGATTGCTATAAATGGAAGAGATTTACGATTTTTATAGCACAGATTATGCCAAATTCTTCATCAGTCATGGGCTCCTCACCTATGCTAAAGCATTTCTTTCAGAAATTGTGGGATCCTGGTCAACTCCAAGCCAGGGACTGGTATAAAAATGGTGTTATTTTACTTTTTTTAATGAGGGGGAGAAAGGCAATAGGCAAATTGCTTAATTGTTTTATAAAAGAAGAATTTAAAAAAAAAATCAGGAATAGTGCATTTTGATAAATGTATTTCAATTTGGAAAAATTAGAAATGGAAAATCCTACAAAGAGTTCTCAGTAAGGCATGAAGAAAAGGATCTACCAAAGGAGACTTTACACAAAGATTTTGTTTTCATGTGACCTGTTGTCACACATGTTTCCCAAAAGGTAATTAGCTTACATTTGAAAGTCAAATAAAATTTCCAAACAAGCTAACTGGCCGTATCTAATAAATATTTTTTTAAAATAACTTCATTTAAACTCAAAATGTGGAAATCAATTATTAAGTGGTTACAGCATAGGAAATATTGCATCGTGAATAAAATATCCTCTACAAAAAAAGGGAACGAGCCTAAAAACCTACTAAACATGGCAACTTCCTTAGGTTAAATCACTGCATTAGAAATGTCTATCACCTTAAAACATACAGCATTCATTAAGTGCTATTTTTACAGTTCTCATCCAGTGCAAGAGAGTTACTCTCCCCATAATAAAAATATCTGTTTCCACAATAAATTATCTTCTACGAGCTTACAAAGTTTCTGAACAATCCTACCTGTCTTACTCCATCTTCTAAGAGTAAAAGCTTACAATCACTAAGACATAAAGAATCATCTGACTCCTGAATCAGGACCACTAAATGCCCTTCCTGTCTTCAGACTCATCACGTGATTCCAGATTGTCAGGTTGCTGCATCCAGCTGTTCTCTCCCTGTGCCAAATCCTTTTCTGTTGAAGTTTTGCTGGGCTGAATCTAGGAGAAAAACAAGTTAAAAAAACAAATTAACAACTCAGACCCACTGTTTTGCTCTGCACTGGCAAGATATCATTACATAAAGATGTCTGTCATACTTGCTAAAAATTGAGAAAATTTAAAAAGCCAGTAAAAATCCATTAAACTGATACCAAAACATTAAGTGTTGTGCAAAGAGAAAGGCATATTGGATGTTGTATCCACGTACAAGTGACAACCATCCTGCACAGTCTCTGGTAGATATTAAGCTCAGAGGCAACAGAAACGCTCTGCCACATTTCTCACCAAAACAGAGAGAAAAACAGGAATAGCAGCACTGAGATAGATCAGCCAGCCCAGTGACTTTCATTACTGCATCCCCTAAGGCAATGCAGTTCCACAGTCTTGTAAAACCCCTTCATCCAACAAGAGTGCAGAACTTCTATTTCAGTCATTCCACAACACATTAGCACAGCCATGGCAGCACGGAAAATTATGCACAAATAAAATTATTTGGGGAAAAAACAGTGCTTGTGTAGAAGCAGCAAATGCTTGGTCACTTCATCTTGCTTGTGCAGGTTCAGGGATCCTTTCAGAAATTAAATGAAGCCTATTAAACAATTAACTTGAGTTCCAGCTGTGCTGTCTTTCCCAAATTCAAGTGACTAATATACAGGAAACACTTCTGTGCAAATCTATCACAGAAGGGAGCACAAAGAGCTCACTCACAATCTGCCAGAAACTTGGCAGCACTTGAGGTCTCATCTTTCTAGAAACTAGGACCCAACATGAGAGCCTGAAGTTCCCAAAGTGAAAGCTGAGAGAGAAGAAACCTGTCTTATTTCACTGCTGTGTGCTGCCATAACAGCTTCTCAAGAGTCTTTCAGCACATCAGCAAATTCTTTTATGGGACATTAGCCAGGAAATATAATTTTTAGAATTCCTTCTGCTGCCACCTCCCCCAGCATTAACACAGTTGCACACATGTATGTTCAGATGAATGTGAAAGCAAAAGAAATTGAGAAGATCACATCAACATCAATCAAAGCTTCCAAATCCATTACCCGAAAAGGCTCGCTGATCCCAACTATTGACTGCAAGTTATTGCTATAATAACACAGCAAAAATTCTCCTCCCATAGTAGGTATTTCTGTAGCACTCATGTAAACCTGGCAACAAGAATAAGAACAGGCAATGAGCAACTTCCACAGAAAAAAGAAGTTTACAAAAAAATCAGTCTCTGCCATTTAGGACACCATAAAAATCAGTACTGACTGTTTATAAGCAGGTTTTAAAACGTAAAATAAAACGGATGAGGGCAGAAATAACTCATGAAACCATCTGAAAACTAAATCAGGGTGGAAAACTCATAGCAAGATGAGTTGGCTCAGTGAGAGGGGAGAAGAAAAAGCCCTGAGTGGTTGCAGGGGAAAGGACAAAGGCAGGGAGCAGCAGGGAGGGAGCGGAGCTGCCTCCTGGTGGCAACGAGCAAAGCAGCACCTCGGTTTGCTCCTGTCCTAAAGACCCCCCCTCCCCCGTCCCCAAACTGCACCCCCCCGGTATCCTGCTAAAATAACTTTTGTTGGGCTCAGATTTCTAAGCTCAGTGATAGGAAAACTTGATACCAGAAGACTTCTGAGCTTCGGAATATTTATACAGTACAGTTTGGGTTTCTTGTTGTAAACCTGATGTTACAAAATCCCTAACATGACAGAACTGCTTTCCATTGTCTGGAAAATCTTATCCATCCTTCCACTCACCGTGTCTCCACAATTAAATTTCAATTTCTGTTTGTTCAGATAAATATCTCTGGAAACACACCATTTGTTTTCAAAATAAGTTTTGTTTGTTTTCAATCACTTTAGGTAATCCCTACTAGAAAGCTTTGTACCAGACAGCAGTTTTTAACAAAGGACCAAAACATTCAGTAGTCAAAACAAAAAGTCTAAGAAACCCCAATCTGGAGCTGTATTAGATATGTGGAACTAACTGTGTAAATACTTACAACTGTAACCAAAATCTCATAATAAATATTAAGGATACATTGAGCAACTTGGACAATCAGATTAAAAAATGGGCCATTACTAAAGTCAGTGGCAGAAGCAGATCAAAATATAAGATGACAGTAGTTTTTAATACAATGAAAAGTCCCTAAAGGAATAAATTGCTTTTTCATCAATTCCCTTAAGCAATATGATCACACCGAGAAGGTTGCCAGACTACCTGAAAATTGCTAAGAATTAGGAAGAGGGATTTTAAACAATAATATTGCTCCCAATTAGCTTCAACTGGCAAAGAGGACACAGAAACCCCAAGAGGAAGGGGGTATGGGACAAACAGACCTTCAATGCTACTCTGTGGGGAAACTACAGTAGAAAGAAATACAACTGCCTTACTTGTTTACTGTCCTTGTCAGAAGAGATTTCATCATCTTCTACCCAAGCATAGGTAACATAATCATTGGTATGCTTGAAAGTCACCTGCAGAGAAAGATGCAAACCATCAGCCCTCTAAAGAAAACAAAAAACATATTGCATGGAAAACTCAGAGTTGTGAGAGCTGTTCACTACTTCACTGAAGGAATTAAACACTGCACTTTTAGGAGAACAACATTTTAGGGGCATGCACAAAACTTTGGTTTCTGAGAGAGTGAGTGCTCTTCTCTCTCACTCTTCCACTAACTTATTTTTGTTCTTTCTTTGCTACATAAATCCCTTGAACTGCAGACATGGGGGGGAAGGAAAAGACAACTCCTTTCCACAGCTTCTGCAACATTTTATTTAAATAAATCACCACAGCATCTTAGCAGAGAATCTAAATCTATGGAGTTAAACTGTCAGCACACAGAAACTAATGGTAATCAAGGAGACACAACTATTTCAGAGAGTTCTAGCAAGAATCACAATGCCCTAAAACCAGCAACTACCTCCTCCAGTCCTGTTCACCATCTCTGCTGAAGAACCATGACGTGACAACATTACCTTGAAGAGCCCAATCCAGTCCCAAGCACTGCTGGGGAATTCAGGCACTGCGGAGTAGCGGATGATGACATCATGTTCTGCACTCCACTCGCCCTCAGGATTCAGCACCACCAAAGGGACTGAGACAAGAGGCTTCAACTAAGCAAAAGAGCAGAATTTAAAGTCAGTCAAGTGTGTCATTCTTTCAGTTATTCAAGTTATTCTCTGCCACACCTGCTGTGGGACTCCTAACTGAATGGAAATAAACCAATTTGCTGCCTTCACTATCATCAGAAGGAAACAGAGATTTTGGTTTAGAAACCAGATTCTGTGAGGCAACACTTCATAAAACAAACTTTTTCTTAACAACGTAAGTGGGACAGCACCTCGAGCCCGAATGTTCCTGTAACAGGTTTGTGGTCGCTGATGCCATAGCTCATGTGGCTGACATAGTTATTCAAAGTAACAAAAATTGTCTGCTCTTCTTCAGAGAATTCGCCTTCTTTTGATGCATTCTGGCAGAGATGTTTCACTCTCCAAAGAATCCTATCAGTCCACGCTGGCTTTCGTTTCTTCTCACTGCAAAAACGTGAGGTAAACGTGAAATGAGAGGAAAACCAAGTTGCCAAAAGCTGAGAATGCTGTGCAAGACCTACTCAAAGTTCAAAGACACTCAGATGCATATTAATAAAAGAGGGCAATCACATCCAAGCTTCATTTTACAGCTCTGTTCAAAATGCTTTACAGCCAATGTCTCCTTAATTTGAACTCCATTAAGCACAGAGCAGCTTCGTGGGTTTCTGAAAGAGGAGTAAAATGAAGGGGAGGAGGGCATTTCAGTGGGTTAGTCGGCTTCATACAGGAAATGATACTTTCTCCTAAAAAAAAATAAATATGCAAGAACACTGAGATAATACAGCAACTGCCCCAAGCTTCAAATGTACAGATATTCTGAGAAATGAGGGCATAAACATAAGGAGTACGCAGGAAGAGTGTGAATGATGTTTGAAATTATTCAAGATATTTGAGAGCAAGTTTCTTTAAACAACAAAAAAAGGGGACAAACTTAGGTAGCTTATGGTGATCACAGGAGCCACAGCAATGCTTTGTTTAGAAGTCCCTCTAAATTGTACCAGCCTGCAGTGCAGGTCTTACAACAACAGGCTTTCAAAGTTCCATCATGGAGAAAGTTGTGCCTGCAACTGTGCTGTACATCCAGCTGTAATCACAATGCAGAGTTTCCTCCCGTGCCATATCAGTACCAGCAGAAGACAGGAGCCTTCCCTGGTTCTCTGTGTGGGGGGAGGAAGATTTAACAGCAACTCCTCTGTGTGGATGTGTCACTTCAAATTGAAATGGAGAAAAGATCATACCCTATGGAAGAGGAATTAGAACGGACTGGATTGAGTTATAAAAGTTAACGAGCAGGATGTGTCAGGAAAACTGTCAGTTTAATAACTCCGAATAGCAAAACCAATGCCATTTAGTTCAATCTTCAACGTACTTTTATTTTACCCCTTCCCATATGCAAGTCTAGCTCACCTTTAGGAAGGTGGAAAGATTTTAAATGACTAAGGGCCCTTATCCCACTTACTCCAGTAATTATATAAACCGACAGAAATCTTTATGAGCTGCCATATGTCTGCTCTGCTGTGCAAGAAAACACCAAAGAAACAGCTCAAGTTAATGCACTCACTATTTTAAAGAAGATGGCGGATTAGATGGGAAACAAAACCTCAAAATTCACATTGAAAAAGTACCAAATCTAACAAAATACTGTGGATTTCATGAAAAGCACACTTTTCAAGGGGGCTTGCCATGAGGTCTGCTGATCTCCCCCCACCTGAGCAAAGCATCTCTGCCTGCTTGAACAGCAGCAGATCACACACAGTAGGTGCAAGCACACTTTTTGTTCTTTAAATGAGCCAGTACAGACTACCAGGCTATGAATCATTTGTAGAATGTCTGGGTTTGGAGTATTATAAGTCTTTTTTGTTAACTGGATTTACTGCTGGTCTCATTATATATCTTTACATTCAATTAGGGAGCAAAATGTCTTTGGATATAAAGGAATAAAGATCCAATGTTAAGTGCAACAGCAGAGTAGATAACACTGCAGCTTTCAGACAGGTTCAGAAAGGCCCTAAAGAAAATCAGCTGTCATCTGATTTTCAAATATTTCACAAAAATCAAATCAAAAGCTCGGAGGGAGCCTTGTTTTGATTCTGAAATATTTACGAAACTACAAAATTCAGAAAATTCTCTTCTTACTTAAACCAAAACAGGGACTTCTGGTCTCTGGAAGTAAAGAAAAAGATCAGTACAAAACCCCTGTTTGGACAGGAACTTATCCTTCTGTCAAAATATAAGACTAATTCTTAACAACAAACTTTAGCATCAGAGAAAAACTTCAGACACTTAAGATACATTTTCAACTTAAGATAATCAGTAGAGACAAATTTGCATTAACTTTCAAATACCAGCATACCAAATAAAATGATTAAACAGAGAAGGAAAACAAAACTGGCAGACAATTACCCTTTTTCTTCTGCTCTTTTCTGACAACCAATGGGCACTTTTACAATAAACAACAAAACAGAAGTGGCTTAAACAAGTGCTCATTTATTCTGTTAATCCAGTCTTTCTAAAAAGGAAGCTGGGTTGTTTCACTACCTCCCTGATGCGATCAGCAGACTCCAGCTTCATCAGCCAGCAACATTAATTTATTCAGATTTGATCAGTGAAGAAGCCCAACAGAGTAGCTCAAGAGCCCCAGTCAAGCAGTACATCCAAATTCAGGTTTACTTATTGAAGTGATATTTAACCAAGCACCCACATTCACCCTCATATCCCACATTTAACTCATCCTATTGTGCTTTTACCTTGTATCATACACATCCGAGTAAAGGTCAAACTTGTAGGTGGGCTTAAACTGCAGAGGACCCTCTATGAATTCCTTAAGAAATGCTTCTGTCTTTTTTGCCATATTTAACTGCAGAAATAAAAGGTAGTTATTTAAGTTTATATTTAAAAATCAGAGCTGAGAAAGCTCCTCCAAGAATTCAACACTTTGCTCAGTACAACATAATTGGAAAGGTAAACTCAGAAGTGCCTCTGTTACTGCCAGAACTCTTGACATGATCTGTCCACAAGTTCTGAGGCAATTACACTCAAAACAAATTCCAGAATAAGGTTCTCTTAAAAATAATTCTTGGGTGAAGAAGAGAAATTAAGGTGAGGAACAACTGACAACATATGAAGTTCTAAGAAAGGTCCAGTCAAACACCAGCATTGTAAAGTAAGAAACTAAACAGAGGCAGGAATAGTTGGCAATTAATTGGGGCTTATGACTGAGAGAAGTGAGAGAGTGAACAGATAGATCTGTCCCACCTCATGACTGCTCTGAGTTTGTGTTCTTTAAAAGAAATTAGAAAATCTAGAGGTAATGTTAATGGCCACGCTGTGTTAGTATGCATTAAAAACCAAACCCAAACTCCCCACGGACTAAGGCAACACACCTGGTCCTTTTCCCAGAGCAGACTGTAACGCTTGTTGTTGATGGATTCCCGCACAAAGTGGATGCCGTAGTCTGCTATCCGGAAGTTTAGATCTCCAAACCAGAAGAGAACACTTAAGAAGAAGAAGAAAAAAACAATAAATGCAAAAAACCAAGGAGGATTTATAGGAATCCACTAACAGAAGTGAAAGAATTCAACAGAATAAAAGCCATTACGCTAATTAGGTGCTCTAATCACTTATATTACTTAATGCAAACAGCTTAAACACAAACATTAAGTAGTTATAGATAAGCTCACACAGGGACAACCTGCTGCTACACCAAAAATTGGAAGTAATTGAAACAGTAAATTAAGTCCCTTGCACTCTTGCTGTTTGCTCATTACTGCTTGAATATTAACTTCTCCTGAGCCTCCCAATGATTTGCATCTCTGAACACTGAACAGCAATCAAAAGGATTTTTGGTATGAACAGGTTTTAGCCTCTAAAGCTTTCCTGCATGGCTTGTACAGTCTATATGCTAACTGATTTATGTAATTAAAGACAAGAGAACAGTCTTGTAAAACAGACCTCCATCTTTCAGGTTATCTTTTCCCCCCAGGATTCAGGCTGAAGGGACATTTAAAATAAAAACGATGGATGAAAATTCCAAGCCAAAAACTATTCAGTGCGTGAGTTCACCACGTAATAGATAAAAACAACACCAGCAGAGCTGGGTGAACGACTCACTCGTGCTCCAAGGTACTTGGAATATTCTCTCCTTCAAACTGCATTTCCAGGATTTTCTCAAAGTCATCCAGTCGCTGCTCTGTGTTCTCCATGTGGGCTGGCAAGTGGCAGTTCATGAAGCAGACCGTGTGACCATAGAGGGACATGCGAATGCTGACTCCTCCTTTGTTCCCCTGGGACGGAACATCAACAACACTCCCTGAACCTACACTCAAAGCCTGCAAACATAACTATTAACACCACCTATAACTTTTTAAATCTTGCTATTTAGGTTTAAATCAGCACAATTTCATCCTACAGAAGTTGTGGCTGGTTAGCTAATAAACCAGTCAGAACTATGGTCTGTGCACTGCACTCGCACACACGGCTCAGACAAACGAGTCTCACTGCTGGTCAGTTTATAGATTTGTCATTGAACCACATCTCCTCCCTCCCACCATGAAACCATCCAGGGGCACACACATCGCCACAAGTAACCAGGGCAGCCGAGTGTCAGGCACTTCCTTACCCAGTATCCGTAGAGGCCGGTGCGTGTGAACTGGGTGTGGATGTCCCGGAGGAAGGGGAGGTGGATGTGCTTCACAAAGATCAGCAGCAGCAACCCCTGCATGCGAACGGAGGAGAGCTGGGACAGAGATGAAAGAGGGAATGGTCATTTCCAGGGAGGCGTTTGGAATAACTTGGATCTGTTTCATAGGAGCTTTGAGATAAAGAACACCACAGCACAAGTCATGCAATTCCCTCGCCAAGAGTGGCTTCAATCCTGGGACACAGTAAACGCAGGCACGTTCCAGTGCTGCGAGGAACACATTCCTGGGGTAAACCTGCTTATAAACTAAGCTGATCAATCCCTCAACTAATTAACACAGTTGTAACATCATATTACAAATCTGAGTTTGACCCTGCCCAAATCTCTTTAAAGACTTCGCTTCTGCCTCCCCAGCCTCGTCTCTATCTTTAAGAATCCTTCAGGAAGAACCAAACCCTTGACTTTTCACCAGTAATCTTAATGGCTCACACCTCAAAGTCCTCCAACAGCAGCAATTTTTTCAAACTGAACCAGATCACTTCAAACTTCAGCAGATCACTAACATTCTAAATGCCACTAAAACACCTAAAAAGCACAGCAGGTAATTCTAGACATCTGCAAAGACAATGAGCTGCAAACAGCAGCAACTCCTGCCTGCAGTGCCTGTAAAAACTGATTCATCAAACACTTCCAAAGCAACAACACTCAGGGATCACATAAGACATGGGGGGTTTTGTGGTTTGGGTTTTTTTGTGTGTGTGGAAATAGTCTAATAAAGATGTCCTTCATTAAAAAGTTATGGACTTTACAATGTTCCTGGCATGAGACACAAAATTCATTTTAAGTGTTTGCTTTAATGATAATGATTCAATTTAAAATACAGACACTGAAATATATTAATTGTAGTTCAATTTTATGATAGATTAACTTAGAAAAAGCCTACATTAGAAAAAAATCTGCTGTTAAGAACAACACCGACTATAAAACTGCTAGAGAAGTACATACATTCAGCCCAAAATTTAAAACAGGATTCTTCCTTTCCTCGCCTCCATATCTACACAATTAAATGATTTCAGAACATACGTCAATGTTCTCATTGTCCTTGAACCCAGCACAATACTAAGCAGTATACTGAAGGATTGCAATTACTAGATGATGCATAAATATTTCAGCAGCCACCACTCTCCTTCCCATAATTACATTCATGAAATACCAGGATCTTCCAGTCCTGTTGTTATTTGCTTTACTTCACTCTGCTGTGGCCACTCCCCAGATATTTCTCAAAATCCATATGAAACCACCTCTCTCTGTAGGTCTTGAACACTGGAAGACAACAATCTGCTTGGACCCAGCACTAGTCCCACAAACACTTAAAGCCAAATCCAGCAAAGCCCTTGCACGGAGGGAACATGATCCTGTGGGTGATGAAAGAATTGACCATGACCAACAACACTCTGAAAACAGACCCTGTTACTGAAGGGACAGAACGTCCCAGGGATGACACCAACCCCTCTACACTCAACCTCGTCACAGGTCAGCCAAGGGGTAACTGCTCCTCCTCTCCTGGCTAAGTCCTGGGATAACCTCTCCTTGCTGCCTGTTTTGATTCTGACCCGGCTTGACAGCTCCCCCCTATTACTGGAGCTAATCCAGTCCTGCTGGAAGCCATTAGGTGGCAGCATCCATTCATTACTGGGTCCAAACTGCCACATTTATAAATTGGAATTCAAAATCAGCCAGGCATACCACTAGGAATTCTTTCAATTGTCTGCATGCAGGGCCTGAATGTCAGCCCACAGCCAGATTTTGAATGTTTATCAGCAATGACTTAACCAGAATGAACAATGTGGGTTTCTTCCTTTTTATAATTCCCAATGGGTCCTTTGTTTTGTTTAATCACAATTAAAATAACAGCACGACTGCTGAGTCTGATTAGCATGCAGATAATACAATCATCTCAGCAAAATCACCCTGAAATAATGCTTGATTTAGAAAACCAATACAACATTCAAGAGGCTTTTAATTTCTCTTTATTGGAGAAATTCAGGATATCCTCCTATGTTTATTGTTTCCATTATTAAAACAGGCAGTACTGTGGCTGATCTTATGCCCCAGATATTGCCCAAATATCTTGTCCTTTAAACTACCATATAATGTTGTAGATCTTCAATCAAATCTGAAGTCCTCAGATAAATACACACACCCACTAAAATCCTGTTTTACATACATGCAATTTATTTTCACCTGCAAACAAGTTGGGGAAAAAAAAGAAAAGAAAAAGGAATCTTAGCAATCTTAATGAAAATGTCCAGTTTTTACTGCTAAAATTAAGGACATTAGTATTAATGGGGAAAAATGAAAATTGCCCTTATCAACAAAGCAGGAAAACACAAGTGTGATGATGAATCTAACAAGTGTGTACCTATGGAAGTGACTGACACCTGCAAAAAGCACCGTCAGCTTCTCTTTTATAGACAGTTAGAGGCAAAAAAGATCTGAGTGGAGCTGGGGAAGACACTTTCCTTCAGTGCTGTGACACTGAGGAGATGTAAATAATTACCTTGATGTATCCCAAGGGAGACAACACAGTCATGAAAAAAATGCTCCACGGATCATCAAATGCCAAGTCAGACAGAAAATTCGTGATTTTTGAGTTCACCTCCTGTAAGCTGAACACATCACAATTACTCACACTGCATCAGTTGGTTTCAACACAACTCATCCAACCTTTGCAGAACACTAAGCTTAAGTCGGAGATTTCTTGCTCTTCAGTTTCTCATTCAAAAGCAGTTTAACCCACCCACAGGTCTAACACATTTAACGCCGAGAAAGACAAAGTTAAAGGAGCTTATGTACACCTGAAGGCAGAGTTTAAGACAACGCTAGGTTCTAGATATAACAAATAACCTGTCAGGGCTTCAAAATTTCATGAAAGTTTGGAAAACACAACGTCAGATTATGCCTTATAAGCTTGCACTAATTTCCTTAAAACATGCTGAATACTGCATAACTGTCACATCAAAATGAACATGCCTTTACATGATAACAAAGCAAACAGCAGCCAAAACATTTTGTTTAGAAAAAAGATGTTCTGTGTTTTGTCACAAAATAGCAGCTTAAAGAAGAGAAGCTTCTCCTGCTGTAAATCCTCTCTGCTGTCAGTTAGTACTCTGTTAGTTAGACTAAGTTAGTCTTCACCTTCTGGTAGTAACAGTGTTAAACCACCTCCCAGCCAGTGACTCACATCCCACAGTGCTCCCAAAGCAGACCAGCAGCTGTTGAGACTCGGCAGTTTTGCAATAAACTTACAAAGCGAGTTCTTCAATATATACTTACCCTATAACATACATATCCATAGTCGGGCCCTGTGAATTGAGCTGAAGTAAACTAGTGACATCAGGAGGTGGAGAGGCTGTGCCCACATTCCAGGTAACTAAGTGTAGTCTACAAACAAACAAAAAATCACACAAAAACCATTGCTAAAACTGAAGCGTGGACAGGCAACCAACCCTAAGAACGCTCTGATTTCCCCACAGAATTCCTGTCTACAGAAAACAAAGATTTTCTGTCACTTCTCATCCCTCAGAAACCTCCTTGCCAGCCAAGCCTTAACGAAAAACCCCCAGCGGCGCCGCAAGAAACGACCAACTTGGGGGGGAAACAAAACCTGAACTCTTGCCACTTATCCTTCAGCTTTTTCCCGCAGATGAGGAAAGCTTCGTCCAGGGTGCGGGACACTTCCTCGTGGATCTCATCATCCGAGCTGACGTCCTCCACGCACGCCATGAGGTGGGCTACTCTCTGCCGGAGCTGCAGGCGGCCGCTGGAGCCTGTGCTGCTGATGCTGGCCGAGCGGCTGCGCAAGTTGTGCAGGCTCTCCAGATCGGCCAGGGAGAGCCCCTCGCAATGCTGAGACGCATCCTCGCCGCTGAGGGATGCCATCTGCTCAAAATCAAACCTGCCCTCGGAAGGACTGGCCCATTCAGGTCCCAAGCGTGTGAAAAAAACCCGAGGTGGATCAGGGTCTCCCAGATGGAGTGGAATTCAGCACTGCTTCTAACACAAAGGGACAAATGGAGGTGCAGCGGCGCTGGAAAAAAAAAATCCCTCTGGCCTTGTCACTGCACTCGCTGGGCTGTTACAAAAGCTGCAATCACGTCCTACCACACACAGGGAATTGTTTCTTCATAATAGATTTAATGTGGTTTAATTATATAAGCTCGAGATTTGAAAGAATTTACTGTTGATTTGAATCGATCATGTGCCTGTCTGTAGGCAAGAGGGAATATAATCCCCGGCTCCCAAACATACAAACTTCTGACCACAACCAAGCAAAGTTCCTGCTCCTCCTGAGCGCCGTCAGGAACATTTGCAGGTCACAGAACTCGCCTGTTGTTTCTTTACAGGGTGGTAATTTCAATGTCAGAGGTTACAAAAAGAGATTCACTCATACGTCAGTCTTGCTACGTGTCAGATTGGCTTAAAAATATAATAAATGTTAATTTTCCATCAATCTTAAGGGCCTATGAGGACCTTATAAACATTGATAATTAAGTAGTGAATCCCACCAATACATTCATTATTAAGGCCGTATTTTTTACCCCCCAAGCTGCTCAAGGTGACACACAATGTGTGTGGAAGAGCTGGGAAGTCACCTTGCATATCACACTGAAATGATCCATAATTTCCTTCAACCTCTTACTCTTTGTAAGACTAGGCTGAAGTCAGTCAAAAGCTATTCTAAAATAAATTTATAGGGGGAAAAAAAATGTAGGTACACTGCAGACCTAATTATGCCATCAGAGAATCACTTGGGAATGCTCTCCAGTTACTAATTTTGTAAGACAATTACCTGATTAAACAAAACTGAAATAATATTGAAGCCATCAGTCACTACTGACAGAAATTCAATTCTTCTAAGTGCCCAGTGACCACAGTACTGATAACACAGACTGCAGGGGCAGAATTTGCACCAAAAGCAAAAACACTTGTAAAATTTTTAAGAACATCCTTAATTATGCAGTCCCACTGCAAGCACTGCTCACAGTCAGGAGTGGGGATCTGGGTGATGCCCATTTCCACCTGATGCCACAAGCGCAGCTTGAACCAAAGGGAGGATTCTGCTCATGGCAGGGACATGATCTTAAGAGTCTTTCCAAGCCAAACCATCCTGTGAGTCTATGAAACCATTCTGGAAGCTCCCAGTCCCACTGGAGCAAAATCTCAGTGCACTTTCTCCAAATACTGTCCTAAATACAAGCAACTGAAAATTAAGTGCCACCGACTCCTCAAATGATTCAACAGCCGAGAATTTTTTAGGGTCTGAATTTTATAATACCACTTTCAGATGATTTTTAGGATCTTCGAGCAAAGGCTAGTGTTTGTTGGTTTGGTTTTTTTAATTTTCCTGTCACAGTCACCCAACTACCCTCTAAGCAGGTTTCTGAAGCGAACCGAGCCCACAGGACAGCACTTATACAGAGGGAAAACACAATATACAAACATCGTAAAAGCAGAAGCCAAAGATCTACTCAAGCTCCTTCTTCCTCACAAAAGCGACAAGTTCGAGGCAGCCGGTGCGTTAGAGACAGATATTGTCTATAACGTAGGGCAGATCCCGTGCCCTCATTACACACACAGGGGCTCTGGGCAGCCCCAGGGACCAGCAATGCCCCCTAAGCCTCCCTGACCCACCCCAGCACCGGCCTCCCAAACCACAAAATCAGCTTTTCTCCTCTCTTTCATATGACTATGCAACGCCGCCAATTCGTGTAATAAGCGCAAACACAAGTTTCACTAATTCTCGGCTAATTTACGTAACCGCTTGGCTACACTTTTCGGAGCTGCCCTCAGACCCGCGCCCCCTCCGCGCCCACCGCTCACCTCAGCTCCCTCACGGGAGGGCCGGCGAGCTCCATGCCCGGGGGTTCCCGCAGGGAAGCGCTGCCGAGGGGACGGGGACGGCGGAGAGCCCTCCGGGTCCCCTCACACGGCCCGGCCCGGCCGCGGCCTCCGCGCCGCCCTCAGCGCTCCGCCACCATTGGCGCGCGTGACGGGGCCGGGCCAGCGCCGCGCCAGGGCGCCCCCAGGCGGGCGGGAGGACCCGCGGCAGCACCGAGGAGAAACAACTCCCATCCCAAAAAATCCAACCCCAAACCCCCCCCCCAAAAAAAAAAAAAAACAAAGGAGGCGGAGGCGGGAGGCTCTGTCTAGTATTTTATTAGATTTCGTTTCCAATATGCCTGTATTGGAAGATTTAGGAGACAAAAAAGGCACAAACTCACATTTAAAGAAACGACGAGATAATCTAACCCTTTCTACAAAGTGTGTGTTTGCCAAAGGAAAAGAGCACGATGAACCCATCGGGACGTGGCGGGAGGCCCAGCGGGATGAACCTAGAGGGGTGTGGGATGTGGGGGGGCGAGCGGCCCCGCCAGCAAACCAGTCTGACCCAGGCTGGGGAGAGGGACCTGCCTCCAGACCCCCAAACCCACCTGGGCTGGATGGGAGTGAGGGTCCCGGTGCATCCATCGCCCCTGGACAGACCAATGGGTGGATGGAGGAAGGGTCCCAACGTATCCATCCACCTTGGACGGACCAAGGAGCGGATGGGAGCGAGGATCCCAGCACATCCATCACCCATGGATAGGCCAGTGTCCCAGTGCCAACCCCGCCGGGAGCCGACAGGTCGAGGGGTTCTTGCCAAAGCTGATGAGATACGGCACGGTAACGCTGCGTGATCTTCGCTATGCTCACTAGCAGGAACCAAGCATCGAGACTGAAGGGTTTTTACAGGATTTGTCTATCCCAAGGCTGAGGGATGCTTCCACTTCGGATCAAATTGGAAGGACAGAAAACACAGGGCAAGGAAGGCGGTGGGGGGGAAGGGGGGAGGAGTATTCAGGCTGAAGTTCCTGCAGTTTTCCTCCCCCCCCTCCGCCTCCAAGTTTTTCCACTAATCAGGAAAGCTTTGTGTAAAAGCTCTTACTCTGAAATCAGAGGATCAAAAAAGGATTGCACGGTGGAATGTTACAATCTGCTTCCACGGCGATTAGTGTCATCGGATGGAAAGCCTCTTGGATAACACAAACTGAAAGAACAAGTGTGCTGTGTGTGTTCTCAGGTCGCCCTCAAGTGTAAGAATCCCTCGAAACGTAACCAACAAACACGAACAGAAGTCAGTGCATAAATTCTCAGTTAAAAATACTTCAAACTGAAAGAACTCTACTTGGGGCCTACACTCCTAAAAAAACTTCTGGAACAGCTACAGAACATGCCATGAAACATCCTGGTCCCAAATAGCCTCACAGATTAAAATTTAGTTTCTTTACCTATTTTACAATAAATTCGTTTTACTTCTGCCTGGTGAGATTGCTAAAAACCCCTCAAACCCCACCCCAACCCCACAGAACCGTCTGAGGTCACTGAGAAGAGCCTGCCAGAGTTACTGGTACAATTCAGAGCTTATTGCACTTAGACATGAGTAAGGCAAAATAACAAACTAAAAATAAAGGGATAAACTGCCCCCTCCCCAGAAACCAAACGCCATCCTCTCCCTCCAGAGCATTCCTGTCTTCCCTCGCTCTGCAAACAGTTCTGATCCCAGCCCTTGCTCAGCATGGCATGGGATCGTTTCAGGATCTCCTGCTTGCAGGAGCAGGAAGGGCTGGAGGAGTTGGTGCATTACAGAATGCTAAAAAGACTCCTCAAAAGTGGTGGTGCACCCACGACTGTTTGGCATTTCAGTATTTCATGTTAGTGCTGCCAAATACAGAAGTGGAAAATAAAGTTATTACTACTAGGGGAAAAAAAAGAAAAATATTGTGCCTTAGGGCAATAGCAAAGAAGAAGGATTTTTTTTCTCATATGTATTTAAGAAAGCAGCATTTCTTTGTTCTGCTTAGTTGATTGTCTAAAGCTGATATCAACATAAGGATAGTTACAGAAAGTATTTGAGTTCATTAAATAACCACAGCTCTTTACATTAACATTATCCTTTGTGATTTATAATCACCAAAAGATATCCTAGAAAACAACTGCAGGTTTTTATAAGTTATTTTTTTATATAGCACAAAAGGAGATATTTTAGTCAGTCTCGCAATGGGAGGAATATTATTGCTGAGCAGAACCACCACCCCAGGCACCTGGAGTAACCAGATACCAAGACTTTACTTGTACACCGGCCTTTGCAACATCCCCATTGATCTAGGGAGAATCACATTATTATTAGTCAGAGTCACTTTAGCTTTATAAGTTATGAGAAATCTTGATAAACAAAGAACAAGGGAGTTGCAACATATGCCAAGGAAGATTTTGTAAGACCGACACACAGCTAGAGGCCAACAGAGCTACATGGACCCAAGGGACCATGGACCCCTAAATTGAAACTCAGCAGGGAAGTGCTGAAGGTGCCAGCCACGGGGATGCTGATCCCAGCTCCTGGGCAGTCTCGAATCCATGGATGCTAAGGCAGAACAAAGTAATGCCAGGCAGGTGCCATGGATCACAACCCATCACAGACCAGGAACTCTCTCTGGCTACTATTCATCACGTATTCAGATTACCTGTCGTTAAATATCTCCCCCCTGGGAGCAAGAGCCAAAGCAGAGCATTTTGTGGAATAGTTTTGCACTCTAAAAATACTGACGAATTTCCCTCTCCAAACAGACATTCACAGAACGGTGAAGGGCTGGGCAGAAACAAAGGCGGCAGTTTATCCCACATGGAAAAAAAAACTTAAAAAAAAAAAAAAAAAAAAAAAAAAAAAAAAAAAAAAAAAAAAAAAAAAAAA